AGGAGTGGCATCCAATTCCGTAATAGCTTGCCTCCGGAAACCCTATGAACCTGGAGAGAGGATGAAAGACACCCAAATGTTGAGGACTCTCCTTCATAGGGTCGCTATGAGTCGCCTGCGACTCGACGGCACTTAACAACAACAACAAACATGCTTAATGTGACTTACTACTAAAATACAGCTGATGATCATTCAAAAATGGATAGAACAGTACAAAGACAGAGAAATGTCAAGAGTTCAAACTGGATTTAGAAGAGGCCATGGCACCTGAAATATCATAGCTTATCTCACATGGAGTCTGGCTGAAAGCAAAGAATACCAGGAGAATATTTATTTGTTCTTTATCAACTATGCAAAGATATTTGATTGTGTGGATCATAGCAAAGCACAGTTAACATTAAGAACAAGGAGAATTCCTGAACACTTAATTGAGCTCATATGAAATCTAGACCTAGACCAAGAAGCCATTGTACAACCAGAGCAAAGGACCACCATTATGTTATTAGGTACTCTGGAGACAAGTACAACTCACAGTGACCCTATGAACAGTGGATTTGAACTTAAACAGGAACACTGTTGTTGATAACTGCCTTCAAGTCAAGCATGACTTATAGTGACCCTATGAACAAAAGGCCTGAAGCCCCTCTTCAACTATTGACATTTATCAAAGTTCATAGTTTCCAGAGGCATGTTGTTTAGGAAGTGGATGCCACTCCTGCTTCTACTACTCAGTTTAAGTTAGAATAGAAGGGATTTTCCTCACCATGTGAAAAGTATATATGTAAAACCAAAAGCCAACATCATTCTCAATGGAGAAAGACTAAAAGCAGTTTCCTTGCAAACAAAAACCAGACAAGGATTCCCACTGTCACCATTTATATTCAATTTTGCATTGGAAGTGCTTGCTAGGGCAATATGGCGAGAGAAGGAAACAAAGGGCATCCAGATCAGTAAAGAGATGGTTAAACTATCGCTATATGGAGATGATATGATAGTATACATAGAAAACCCCAAAGATCAACAAAAAACTGTTAGGAGTTAGTAAGCCAGTTTGGTAGTGTGGCAGAATATAAGATCAATATCCAAAAATTAGTTGAATTCCTCTACAGTAACAAAGAGAAGTCAGAGAAGGAAATCAAGAAAGCAATCCCATTTACAATAGCCTGGAAGCAGGAGCGGCATCCACTTCCAAAATGGCTTGTCCCTGGAAACTCTATGTACAAACAGTGCTCAGGCTGTTTGTTCATAGGGTTGCTATGAGTCGTCTACGACTCGACGGCATTAAAAAACAAACAACAACAACCACAAATTGAGATACTTGGGAGTGAACCTAACAAGAGATACAAAAGATATATACAAAGAAAACTACAGAGCATTTCTGCAAGGCACAATACATGACCTAAAGAAATGGAACAATGTGCCCTGTTCATGGATAGGAAGACTCAATATTGTGGAAATGACAATCCTACCAAATGCAATCTACATGTTCAATGCAATCCCAATCCAGATACCATATTCATTTTTCAAAGAGATTGAGAGGGAAATTGTCAAATTTACTTGAAGAGGCAAGAGACCCAAAAAAAGCAAAACACTTCTGAGAATCAAAAATGAGGTGAGAGGCAAAACCTACAACTCATACTGGTACAATGGCAGGCACATAGACCAATGAAAAAGAATTGAGAACCCAGAAATGGACTCAGCCAACTATGGTCAACTGATATTCAACAAGGAAATCAAAGCTTTCTAATGGAAAAATGACAACCTCTTCAACAACTGTTGCTGGCAAAACTGGACTTCCACCTGCCAAAAGCTGGAATTGGATCCACCTCTCACACCATACACAAAAATCATCTCAGAGACCTGGGAATAAAGCCCAGAACAATAAAGTTCATAAGAGACAAACTGAGATGAAGTTTAGAAGCCCTAGCCTACAGTATAAAGAGACTGCCAAATACAGCCAGAAATGCACAATCTGAAGAGGATAAAATTGATGAGTAGGACCTTCTAAAGATTAAATGCCTGTGTGCTTCAAAAACTCATTCCAATAGTGTGAAAGGAAAACCTATCAATTGGGAACAAACATTTGGTAATACTATCTCAGAAAAGAATCTCGTAACAAATGTTTATAGAATACTCCTGGGCCTCCACAAGATAAAGACTGATAATGCAATTACAAAATGGCAAAAGACATGGAAAGAATTTTTACAAAGAAAGATATCTGAATGGCCAACAGACACATGAAGAAATGCTCAAAATCACTGGCAATAAGAAAGATGCAAATCAAAACCACAATGAGGTACCATCTCACTCCAGTAACAGTAGTAAGACAGCTGTTGGAGAGGATGTGACAAGATTGGAACTCTTATACATTGTTGGTGGGATTGTTAAATAGTACAACCACTCCGGACGGTAGTTTGGCCTTTCTTCAGATAGCTAAGCATAGAAATTACATATCACCGAGCTATTCAACTGCTTGGACCAGACCCTGAGAAAAATGAGAACTGAAGCAAAAACGAAGACCTGTACAGCAATGTTCATAGCAGCATTATTTACCATTGCAAGACCATGGAAACAGCCCAGATGTCCAACCACAATCGAATGGATTAGAAGTTAGCAGCCCTTTGAAATCTTCTACTCAACTCTTTAAGTTCTTGATTTCTTCCCTTTGCTTTGAATTCTCAGTGCTCTAGTGCAATATTCAGAGTATCTTCTGACATGCATTTTGGTCTTTTCTTCTTCCTTCTTAATAATGACTTTTAGCATTATTCATGAATGATATTCTTGATATCTTCCTACAGCTAATCATTAAAAAAATCTGCTCTGGGGTAATATCATTACTCCTCAATAATACAGAGAGATCCCTAACTTCAGAGGTTATTAAGAAATAAAAGGACAGGGACTGCTCAGAAAGACAAGGCAAAATATTATAATGAAATGTGTAAGGAACTGGAGTCAGAAAATCAAAAGGGCTGAATTTGCTCAGCATATCTTAAGCTGAAAGAACTAAAGAATAAATTCAAGCCATGGGTTGCAATGCTTAAGGATTCTATGGGCAGAATATTGAATAATTCAAGAAGAATTAGAAGCAGATGGAAGGAGTATACAGAGTCATTGTACCAAAAATAATTGGCTGCCACAGAAGAATTTCAAAAAACAACATATGAGCAAGAGGCAATGGTGATGAAGGAGGAAGTTCAAGCTTCTCTGAAAGACTTGGCAAAAAATAAAGCCCCAGGAATTGATAGAATACCAAATTACGTATTTTAGCAAACAAATGTTGCTCTGCATGTGCTCACCAAGATGTGCCAAGAAATCTGGAGGACAACTACTTGGCCAACTGATTGCAAGAGATCCATATTTATTCCTATTCCAAAAAAAGTTGACCTCACAGAGTATGGAAATTATAGAACAAACTTTGAGCTGTGATACTGGAGAAGAGTATTGAATATACTATAGACTGCTAAGAAAACAAACAGGTTTATCCTGGAGAGAGTTAAGCCAGGCTACTCCTTGAAGGCAAGGATTCTGAAGCTTCATCTGACATACTTTGGACATGTTGCAAGGAGGGACCAGTACT